GGTGCGCACAAAGTCCTGAGCAGCAGCGAACACACAAACCCCGTGTTGTTGTGAAGTGGTTGTAGCTGAACTCTGCTGACAAACAGCAACATAAAAGCAGCTCTGAAGGCTAAATATAAGTAACAGAGTAGAATATTAGAGTCCTGCACAAACACCAGCGTCAACAAACGGGGAAAGTTTGGACTTGTTCCCTCAACAAAATGCTTCCATTGCATGTGTTTTAAAGCAAACCTTTAAGCTGCCATCTGTTCTGGAAACGTGCATGTGATGCTCCAACACATGAGCAGCTGAGGATGAGTCAATGCTGAGTTTTGGGGATCTTCTAGTCGTATTAAATCCCCAAAAACATAATAAATAATGGTTCTACGCTGCCAGCAAAATCCAAAAATCTGAAGCAACCAATTAGCAAGCAGCCTCAGGTCACATGTTTGCCCAAACTTTAAAGCCGTGCTGCACACTTGTATATATTCACACACAAATTAACCAAATATAGTTTTAAAACCATTTAAAATTAGTGTTGTACATTTCATATTCATTGTTTTGCAAACCTGTTTCCATAAAATCACATTCCTACACGACTAAACTGCATTTTCAGTATAAGAAGAGAAACATATTTGTACAAAAGTTTCGTATTTTATCCTAAACCGTGACTTTTCTCTTGTTAACGCGTCATTTTGGTGCCTGAAGTTGTAAAATTGTCCAACAAAGTGTGATATTTTATAAAAAATTGAGTTTTTGTAGATAAAACCAACCAGAAAGCGAAAGAAAACTGAACGACAGAAATCAAAACTTCAGCACGTGCTCACAAATTCAGTTCATTTCAAAAACAAAACTTGCATTTTCTCCAAAACCTAATTAAAAATGCAGTTTAGTTGCATCCTGCTAACGTAGCCGTTCTTCTCTGGGTAGCTGAAAACGAGGCAGAACCTGAAGCTACTGAGCACTTAACGTCCATCACTCTGTGCAGCAGGTGTACGGATTCTGGATCGGCTCAGTGAGTTACTTTTCAGGAGCAGGTCCATGAAAGAGGTGATGAGGAGCTCATAGTTCAATCACAGAGACAGCTCCGCTCTGCAGTGTTTCCAGGCTCAAGGTTCTTCTGCTTTTAGATGCAAGTGAACGGCAGAGACCCGAATGCTGCCAGGAGGGACTTCCAGGCACAGTTTGGGTCTAACACGTCTACCTTGTAGAAGCATCCCTATCCTGGGGGCAGTGGTTTCTGTCAAAGATAACTGGGTGCAAATGCAGAGAGGTTCGAGGAGAACGATCTGCATCACCCCCAGTTTACCTTTCTGACTTTACAAACCTTTAAACCAGTCTGGTATCACAAAAAAGCACATTTACGGGGACTTTAAAATAAAAAAAAAACTCATTACTTTAGACCTAATCAAGTCATTTTGGTGATTTAACTTGTACAAGTGTCTCCACAGACGGTGCTTTTTGCATTTGGCTTTTAAACGCAGGAGAAATATGAAATAAAACAAGAACATTTGGGTTCAGGTCGAGCTCGACGTCCTGATCTAACCTCTTACTGTGTTGCATTTTTATTCTTTTAGTTTTGTCCTTTGGTCGCTGTGTTATTTTATCCGTGCTGCACGTTTGGTTTGACTAAAATGTGCTTTTGTAAAAAAATTTGAGCAGCAGATCTGAACAATGAGGACAGATGTCAAAGTGACTCCTCTTCATAAAAGTGAGATTATATTTAAAGGCCACATAAATGCACCGTTTTGCACCTGACTGTTGGCTCAAGTTCAGCCTCTGACACCTTCATCTGCGTCATTTCACCTCAGTAAAGCGATGAGTGATGAGGTCTGAACTGTGCTCTTCCTCGTCCCTCTTCACGGTGCAACTCTGCCTCCATCTCCTCCCACCCCAGCTGGACTCCCTGCGCTCCGTCCGTCCGTCCGGTGTCGCCTTCCCAGAGGAGCGTCCTGTCTGCCGGCGTCCCGGCGGAGGCCATGTGATGTATATTTGATGAGCGGGTGCTGGGGACCCTCTGGAGGGCTCCGGCAGGACAATGGGCCTCGCTCAGGTTTCCTGCTGCAGCCGTCACCGACACTGCTGCTCTTTTCTGTGGCCAGAGCCGGTGAGTCAGGGCTGGAGTTTCAACAGGCAGAGTTACAGCAGCAGCAGCAGCAGAGTCTGAACATCTTCAGCTCGGAGCCACGAAACCAACTGACAGCATGACGCAGAGTTCATCTGTCTGGAGGTTTTCAGTTTGAGACGCTTAAAAGGAATCTTAGGAATTTTTTTTAAAAGCCTCTTATAGAAGAAGCAAACTCACATATTCAGAATTAGATTAAACATAATCACAAATAAATGTAAAGCAGTTCAGGGACATCTACGGTTAATGGAAACAACATCTTTATCATTTAGGAAGACAAATAAAAGCAACCTTGACCTTCATTTATAGGAATATGTGGCGTTAATGTGCAGCAGAGAGTCAGAACTTTACTGTTTTCATTCTCTTGGTGACTTTTTAAATAAAGTTCTGAGTCTTTTATCCCTTATCTCTCATTCCTTCACCCTTATCCTCTTCCTGCAGTCTTTTAGCATCTACTTCACCACGATTCTGCTCATATCACTCATTTATTCACTCAGTTAAAGGCACTAAATTAAAATGCTGTAGGAAACTTAATAATTAAAAAAGAATTAAAGCAGTTTTGCTCTGTTTGGGTCGGTTCTAATGAATTCATTCTCACCATAAAACCCAGATGTCTCCAGAAAGATGCACCTGAAGCAGGATATTATTAAGAATTTTACTTTGATTTTATTGCTGCAGGACTTAAAATGTTGTCAGTTTATGTGGATATTGAAGGGGAGCAAAGATTAACATTAATGATAAGAAAGAAAACAGATTCCACTGTTAACACATTATTATTATTATTATTATTATTATTATTATTATTATTATTATTATT